CTAAATGACTGCTCTGGGAGTCCTGGTGTTAACAGTACATTTGCTGAAAACGTCTACTCAAAGCCAAAACTGACAGAATGAGAAGAAGTTTTTTCCCTGTAGCCATAAGACTTTTCTAAACCAGGCCTAACTCTGTGTATGTGTTTTTATTGTGTGTTCAACAATAAACTGAACCAAACTAAATTCCTTTTGATTTCTGCAGGAATTTGACAAAAAAGTACAAAACATGACAGAACTGCTGCTTTGTTTTATTGTGTGGGGGAAAAAAATCAAAATGTAAATAAAAACCCTGTGTATTTCTGCAGACGAGCCTCATGCAGCGTCCGGGAGTCGTGTCAGGTCCATGTGCTGCCCACAGAGGGTCAGAAGTCCAGTGTTTGGAGCAGTGCATTGTGGGAGGAGAGGGCTGCATCTGCTCCACAGCCGCCTCTGTATCCGAGAGAGGCAGCTGGAGAAGCATGTCGCCATTTCACATTTTAACATTCCTGATCAAAGAGAGAAATACATGATTATAGATCTCTTTGACATCAATAACTGACAATGAATTCGAACATTGTGGTTCCTAAGTTATTCTGCTGTACTATCAAAGAGGACAGTTTCATACAAATTATTGTTTTCATGATACAAAATGTGAAAATCTGAAAACAAGTCGAAATACTCTCTAGCAGTCTTAATAAAATACAGTGGTCCAATGTATTTAATAGAGAAGATTCACACGACAATATACTATCATTGTGTGTGTGTGTGTGTGTGTGTGTGTGTGTGATTACAATGTTCTGATTGTATATGTGTGTGTGTGCGTGTGATAGCAATGTTCTGATTTCATTTTAAATCAAATAAAGCTGATCAAATTGACTTTCCGTCTGTTGTCTTGTTATTTTTATGTTTTGTGTGAACATTTTCAGATTCAGTCCAATCTATAAATCACAGATAATAAATTACATCTGCAATCTTTTTTTTTCTGTGGAGCTCTTAGCTGTAGCTCAGGTCAAAGTCAACGACCGTGAAAAAACACAAAATGATGAAAGGAGAATTTAAAAAAATCAAACGCGAGACTAATTGAAACTTAGATGTTTCTCAGTGTTTGGTCTTTAAAACACACAGATGTGCTGCTTTTTTAAACCTTTAGTAAAAAAAAAAAAAAAAAAACGACTGGAAATCCCACTTTAAAATGGAACAACACCGCCCCCTAGTGTCCTTTTCCATAACTGCTACCACTCTCAAAAGCATCAACATTAAAAAGGCTATTGACAAATCATAAAGAATATGTACATTCAGGAGACACCTAGAGCTTAGACTTAAACAACTTAAGTCTAAGTGTGTATCACTAAGTTTTATATATTGACATTTTAAACAGTTTTAATTCTGATATTCAGTTGTTGCTTTTTTGCATTATTGTTTTATAATGTTTTTAAATGTGTGTGATTTTATGTCTTTTCAAGCACTTTGGGTTTTACTGCATTGATTGTGCTTTATGTAAGCTTTAGTAAGCTTTATTTATATACCGCCTTTCACAGACCAGAGCCACAAAGCGGTTTACAATTGTTATTTTTTGGGCATTTGTCCTCTCACTCCACACAGAGATGGGAGCGGGGTCGCCGAACAGGAGGCGCATGCCAGAACTATTGTACATATTTTTAGTGGTAGGGGAAACCGGAGTACCCGGAGGAAACCTACGCAGACACGGGGAGAACATGCAAACTCCACTCAGAAAGGCCCTGGTCCGGCCGGGATTCGAACCCAGTACCTTTATAAATAAAACTTTATTAATTTATTGTAAATATTTTGTACTGTGCAGTCTGTGTTTTTATATTAAGATAGTTAAATGTGATGTATTTTTATGTCTTACAGAGACCAGGTCTGTGAATTAGCTGTTAGCTACATGGTCTATGTGGCGACAGTGGCTCAGTTGGTTGAACATTGGCCTTTGAGCCTGAAGGTCGTGGGTCTTGAGTCCACCACGAGACCTTCTCCACCGACTCCCACTGTCGGTCCTTGGGCACTTAATGGATAAAGGGGAAGAAAATGGATGGTTATTTGTAACAATGCTTCTGTCTAATTGATTGAGATATGCACACAGTAACAGCAACAGTAACAGCAACAGTAACAGTAACAGTAGTATAATTTAAAAGTGACTTTTAACTTGAAGTCACTTTTGTTCTGTGAGCTGCAACACTGGTCTATTGTCAAAGATAAAACAAAAAACAAACAAAACATAACACTTGACTTCACACTTTTTTTCAGGCATATTTAATTGGCACAGTAAACACAATACAAAGTCTTCAGTGCTCTGAAACACAGGCGTAGCTTACCAAATGGACATAACAAAAAGTGCAAAGACACACCATTTGGTAGAACTCACAAAAGAAAACAAAAGTCTTACTTTGCAAAGCAGATAAAAGTCGTGGTAAGACTCTCAATAGTTAAAATAGATGTTTCCTTTTAAAATTCTATACTCTCATATATACTCTCTCTCTCTCTCTCGCTCTGGTTCCGTTCCTCTGTACATAAGTATTCTCGGGCGTAAAAGGACTGGTCTGGTTGATTCTGTTTTCCGACATTGTCTTTGCTCGACACGTTTGGAATAATATTGGGTTTTCAAAAACACAAACAGGGACTTTGAGTCTGAGTCTATGGCACACAGCAGGGATCCCATCCATCAGGTCAATACTCTACTACCTCTCCATCTGTACGCTGTTACAGGTATATAGGAGGATTTACTTCCTCCGGGTGGATCATCAAGACTATTGGACCTCCCAGTTGTCAATCATTCTGGTGATACGCCAAACAACACCAGAGAGTTTTTTCAAAAAGTGGAAAAAAAAATATCATAAAACTTGGGAGAATCCTCCTATAAACCTGAAAACGTGATGAATGACTATGAAAAACACGTTAATGGCTTAATCCAAAATACAAAATAAAAACAAATTAAAACTGGCTTATGTTAATATAGGCAGTACATTCTGGGCAAAAAAAAAAAAAAAAAACAATGAAAATTAAAAGAAAAGGTTAAAAAGTGGATTAAAATCAATGTGCCTTTGGAAAACAAAAACCGATGAACAATGTTTTTAAAAGTTACAAATAAAATCACATTTGTTTTGGATGCACTATGCACATACTCTCAGTGATAAACTGTTTGTTACGGCTCCAGTGAGAGCTGCAGCTGGTCCTGGAAACTCAAAAAAAAAAAAAGATCACAGTATCTCTGCGTATACAGTAGATAAGAAACTTGTCTAAAACCAAGTGACAATGACTACAGACAAAGACCAACTTGCATAAAACACTCTGATCATAACTTACAATATTAACATTTACATACATTACTATTCTGTGTAAGTGAAACACAAAAGAGTAGAACATCCAATTATGCATGAACCTCCCCAAACAAACCGCCATCTTGAGAATTATCGGTGTAATAACACTGGAGGGAGAAAGAACAGGGACACATGCCATCTGAAACTAAAAACGTGAAGTCTTACCAAAAAAAAAAATCACTGGTTTTTCTTCCCATGAGTTAATTCCAAAACAGCTTGACCAGGCAATGAGAGTTAACAAAGAAAAAAAACAGAAAAAAAAACAGAAAGAGGCAACACTGGGCTTTTGCCACAGCAGAGAGGGAGGCAAGGAGGAAGACAGGGCAAGCATGCAGCGATCACAGTGCTCAAGGAAACCCCGCCCCCCCCGTGCCTACCAGGGACACACACAAGCGGCCACAGAGGTGTGTAGCAGCTTGTGATGGGGAAGGGGGGCGTATGTCGACAGGTGGGGGGGGCATCAGGTGTAAAAAGAAAGAGGGGTGTGGTCAGAGAGAACAGACACAAAAACACGGGGATCACCAGGAGGAGTGGAGGATAGTCGATGGAGCACACACACACACACATACACATACGTACACACACACACACAGACACCACAGACACACACCTACACTGCTGTTATTCGAGACGTGGGGATAGAAGTAAACGCCGCTCACACAACAAAATGGCCGACTTTGTTTTAACCAGTGCATTTGTCTAGTTCCTGCCCAGGTTCCTAGTTCTGATGTTATGCATAATTGGTGAGATAAGTAAACAGTTTAACCAAAGTGGGATGGAGATTCAAGTCACGATATACATGATGACAGAACATACGACAGATCTGTTTCAAACTAAGTCACACAATTTGGTTTTGGTTATGAATAAAGCACATTTTGTTTTTACAGATTAGCCACAACCAGTAGTAAACGTATCCCAGGAAACGGTAAAACCAAATGATTGGAATGACTTTCTCACAAACACACTGTCAAATGAAGGTGGAACGTGAAATCTTCCTGCTGCTCATGATGATGCTCATGCCGTGGTCGTCCGGTCTCTGACCACACCCTCTGTCCAGTGTTTGTGCAAAAAGCAAAAGGTAAATCGAGGGAGAGGTGCTCAGTTTGCAAGCGAGTTAGTTCTGAAGCAAAGCAAAAAGCTCTTTGTGCTTGTGAGTTTCTCTCAATGTTAGAAATGAGGAAGATTGTTGACTATTTTGTAGATGATCATTTTAAAATGGTTAGAAAAAGCTGAAATTATTGAGACTTAAGTTGACATTAGGAGCACGTTATGTGCAATTGACGAGAGCGGTTGTTTTTCTCCAAGACTGCTTGCCCTGCCATTCCTCCACCAACCTCACGCTGACTTCAAGGAATCTGCAATTCAAAAAAGTACATGCAGTTAGAGAACTGGAGGAATAAATAAAACACAAACTTACTATAATCTATTTCAACAAATTATAATTTCATGAATGTCTATGAATAGTTAATAGTTCAAAATGATCAAATGTCAAAGTCCATGTTTGTGCACACATGCATAAAGCACTGCAGCAGAACATTTGCCTGATGCATTCTCCTGATGGATCACATGTGTGTGATTAGTTCTGAGGTCTCTTTAGTCCATGCTCTTTAATGCCCACACTGTTGAACACTCCATGCAGTCAAACTGCTATTGTCCCAGTCTCACCGTTTAATTGTACACTACTTTTTACCAAAGGCCTGGAAAAAAAGACCAGAAGAGCTCACAACTATTAATAGAAGTAAATACAGAATAAACATATAAAGTGTTTCATACAGTTGGTCAACAAATATGAAATGTTTCCTTTATATAATGTGTATTTTACAGCATGCCACAGAAGGAGACCTTTCTCTCTTTTCAAATAGTAATCTACAAAAATATCTTAATGCCATTTTACAGCAGGTTTAAAATGTATTTCTATGTGCATGATTGTACAGAAGGAGCATGCATGCTAGCACTGGCTACATAGTGACCAAAACACATTAGCTTACGTTTTGATCTATCATCCTAGAAAGTGCATACATGAACCCTTTAAGAGTCTGATGTCAAATCATCAAAGCAGAACTATTAAAGCTTGTTTATGAAAATGCAATTATCTAAACAAAGCATAGTTTAACCTTTAACTCTAGGTTGTATAACAGTGCCATGCAAAAGTCTTCATACTCCAGGATAGTCTGTACGACCACAGATTGATTCTCTGATCTGTCGTTGGTGAATCGACTGAATCTGAGACGACTGCCGATGTGATTTTGTGTTTTAAGTGTTGAATATTCTCTGAGAGCAACAAATTCCTTATAGAAGTTTGTAGATGACCGATAAATGCTCAAATATCAACCTACAGTAACTATTTAGTTGATTTCATCTGAATTCAACATATTTGTGTATAGCCCTGAATCACAACAGAGGAATTTACAAAGTTGTCGATTTGAAAGGGGAGAAAACTACATTTCCAGACGTATACAAGTTGGAAAAGACATCCCCCAAAAGTCTGTCATTGGAGCAGAGGGGGTTACACAAAGTACTGGCTCAGTTTTTATTTGGAAAAATGAATAATTTTCTTTTTTCCTTTACAATTGTCGTCCACTTTGTGTTGACGTGTTGACATTAAAATGACACGTTTAATGTTTATGATCGCAATGAGACAAATGTGGAAACGTTCATGGGATATGAATACTTTTTCAAGGCACTGTGCTTAATAACATTCAAGTAGAAAATGTTTACAATAATCCTGTCCAAACAGTCTGGAGGCACAGACAGCATCTGATTGGTCCGTTCCTCCGTTAAAGCACTGTCTCTGAGCGAGCCATGACATTCCTGGAGTCGGACAAGTCCAGACAAAACAGACGTGTTGATTTAAATGTATGTCATAGCACCTTTGGCATTTGTTTCCAAAAAGACCTCGACGTAGGTTGTGGGGACGTATCCTTCTTCCTCCTCGTTTCTGCGCACGCGAGTCCAGCCGTCGCCTTTGTCTTGTTCTATCACATACAGCAGCTCCCCCTCTGCGATCGCTATAGTGCCCTCGTTTTTACCTACACACACAACAGATGCAGAAAGATTGAAAAAAGAAATAATATCTCAGTGGTAAGTAAGAGCACGCAGGGAATGACGTGCACAGGCTCAGTGGTTCTCGTTGTACAGTCTGACAGACAGCATCAGGAAGGAAAGTAGTAGTAGTAATCTTTATTTATATACCGCCTTTTCACTGCAGATCTGAGTCTCAAAGCGGTTTAAAATTGTTATTTTTGGGCATTTGTCTCTCACTCCACACAGAGATGGGAGCGGGGTCGCCAGTACAGGAGGCACATGCCAGACCTATTGTACATATTTTTAGTGGTAGGGGAAACAGGAGTACCCGGAGGAAACCTACGCAGACACGGGGAGAACATGCAAACTCCACTCAGAAAGGCCCTGGTCCGACCGGGATTCAAACCCAGGACCTTCTTGCTGAGAGGCGAGAGTGCTATCCACTCAGCCACCGTGCCGCAGACCTGCAGAACCTCTCCTTCACACAAACCCTACACCTTTCAGAAGCAGAAGCCAAATACTTTTTTTTTTGCTATTGTAAGAAACAGGAAGTCACAAAGTAGGAATTTGCTTTGGTGCATGTTATTAAAAAGTAAAAAAAAGATATAAAAGCATACAAAAAAAGGGGATATTTGATATGGCGGCACATGAATCAAATATTATATGCATGTAACTCCCTGTGCTACCAGCAGAGGGAGTTGATTTTTTTTCTTTTCTTTTCAAGTTGTAAGCTTCAAATACAGCCAGGTAGTTGTACATATTACTTTTGCACTAGTGTGTATCACAGATGTATTTGTACTTATTGTATTTTGTTTTGTGTAAGTATAGAGTTGTGCAATACTTAATATTCACTTATCTTGTGCTGTGTGCTCCTTCTTCTGTAACTTGTGACGCAACACTGAAATGTCCCCGCTTTTGGATGAATAAAGTAGCTCTTAATCTTAATCTGAATCTTAAAGAACGATAATTTCACTTGAGAAATTGCCAACACTAATTCAGGAGCGACACTTTTGTTTTAAAAGGCAGAAAACTGGTCTGAGTGTGACGTCATAGATGCACAATGACATCATAACAGACTTTTGTGTATCTCTATTTTATACTATGTCTGTTTTTATACTATGTGAACCGCTTTGTGACCCTGGTCTGTGAAGGGCGCTATATAAATAAAGTTTACTTAATGTTCTCATGACAAAAATACTGGTTTAATGCGAGAAAAAGCGATCGCGAAAAACCAGGAAGTAGATTCTGGGACATTTTAGGAACTGTGAGATTTCATAACACTTTTAAGCAACTTTTGTTAAAGTTAAACTCATCATTCTATCAATGTGCAGAAGCCTGTACTTTTCCCTTGTTTTGTCTATCTGAAGGCCAAGCTACATGGCACCGTGGCAGCTGCTGATTCTTGCATTCTGTTGTTCGTGTTGTTCGTGCTACCATGTCTACCATCGACAATAAAACATGTCTTCTGTCTGAATTAAAGACGCGATCCCAGACTTAGTCATCTTCTTCAGAACATTTGCAGAGGATCGGATTATAGATTTAGATTAAGTTTATGTTTGGGTCACTCACCGCTGATGTTCAGAATTCTTTGTTCAGTTTTCAAGCAGTTCCAGAGAGTTCTAGTTTGGAAGTTGCCAGCCTAAGTGTTGCTAGCATAGCCACAGGAAAACCTTTGGGAACTATTTTATTTTCTGTCATTTAATAAACCTTTCTACATTCATAAAAGTGGACTGAAGTTTGTGTTGTGTGTTCTGTTGGTACAAAGCCGTATAATAAGCGGGATAATGTATAGTACACAGGTCATTATCGGAAAATAAGTACCGACAGGGCGAAGCGGACCCCGACGCGCTCAGGGGTCTGCTTCCTACTTATTTTCCGATAATGACCTGTGTACTATACATCATCCCTTACATACTCAAGAGAAATATCTGATGTTTTTGTAAGTTCTGACTGTAAATCTAATGAAATTATTTGAACTCCTGTAAAAAGAGAGAAGATTCTACGACATGGACATTTATCAACGTTCATGGACATTATGGACCAACACATATTTGTTCTAACTGTTGATTCTCTGATCTGTGTTGGTGATTTCAACAGCTTTGTTAAATCCTCTAAGACACATGTGTCAAAGTCAAGCCCGCGAACCGTTGCCTGCCATTGACGCACTATTACGTCAATTGCGTTTTCCGCTATTTTCATGTTCCCAGATGTCTATTATATCTAATATGTATGGGGATAAGCTTGAGAGCATATTGAATCGAGCCAGCAGGTGGCAGCAGCGCTCTCTGGATGGTTTGAAAACAGCTAGATGCACTTGTTGTGCCTCTTTTTTCTCAACTTTTTGGTGCTTTCAGTAAAACTTTCCTCTACTCAACTGGGGGTTACAAGCTAGAAACAAAATTATTTTTGCTGATGAAAATAGACAGTCTATTCTTTCAGAATCTGGTTTCGGATATCAGATAGTCATAGTACACAATATTCTGTGGTTCTTGAAAAATCTATAAAAATCATCAGAAACTGCTGGCAATATGGGAGTACCTGTTCTGAAATAGGCTGGCAGGCAATGAGTTAATAAACATTGAACCAGTCCGGCCCTCGGCTCGCAGCAAATTTGTTTTTTTGGCCCTCTGATGTATTTGACTTTGACATGCCTGCTCTAAGGTGACAATTGATCAAGATTAAGATTAAGAGATCCTTCATTTGTCCCACAGTGGGGGAATTTCAGTGTTGCATCACAAAATAGTAGAAAAGAGGAGCACACAGCACAAGATAAGTGAACAATGGAGCTATACTAATGAAAATAAAACAAAATCTCTAACTCTTGCATCAATAACAAGTACAAAATCTCTATCCGGAAAATAATAATAAAATACACTTCTTACACTTTTATTGTTGTGATTTAGGGCTATACAAGCTTACATTGAATTGAATTGATGTAAAGAGGGGTAGGAAAGATATGTTATACTTCTACCTACTCCTTTTCAAATAGTGTATAAACGTATTTTCATTTTTATTGTATTTGCACAATTAATAATTCAATTTAAAGACAAATAATACTACTACTACTGCTACTACGAAAGACCTCGGAACCATTTACCCAGGTTGAGTTTCTGAGCAGGCGAAAACAAAAATCCGTACCTTCAAACGGGTAAAGCGCTTTACAGGTGCCGATGGTGGGCAGCGTCTCTTCATCGTCAAACTCATCGTCATCGTCGGCCGTGGAGGGTGTAGGGTCGGTGCTGGCTTTGACCTGTGTCTCCGAGTTCTGCTCCTCTGTGTAACTGCCGTCGGGGCTGCTCAAGGGCCAACACAGACACATAGTAAAAACCAGGCTGTGAAAACATCCTCTTCTACAGCCGCGTTGATGGGATTGAAGTTAAAATATCCCATACCTCTCTCTGTCCTGTGCGCAGTTGTTGCTCACGGCTGTTGTGTTGTTTTGCGTTTCATAAATCACACTTTTTCGGTGCGAATCGCTTTTGGAAGGCATTCTTTCTTCCACCTCTGCCAGCCACCCCTGAAACACACACACATTCACACACACACACACATATATATTAGGAAGTGTGCGAGTGCTGTAAACGGCCTGCACTACAGAAAATGGTGGTAATAATTGCTTAATTTGACTCATTTTCTCCTAAGTCACCTTAAAGGCTCTCCCACACTGCAAAAAATGATGAAAAATTTGTCAAAAATAGCAACAACAACAACAAAATGTATTTTAATTTGAGAACATTCTGACTGTCTCAAAACAGAATTTGCCAGTGAGACAAAGCCATTTAGTCTTATTCCAAGAATTGTTGCTGTATTTTCTCATTCCAAGAGAGACATTTCTTGTATTTTTTTTAAAACAAGGTCATTTTGTTTGTCCCATTGGCAAATCTTGTTTTCAGCCAGTCACAATGTGCTCAGAATAAAATACATTTAGCCAATTTTTACTTATTTTTCATCACTTTTTGCAGTGTGGGAACCAGTTAGATGAATTCGAAGGCAAGGTAAACCAACTTTTACCCTTTTAAGGCTGCTACCACTAGTAGTTGCAGTGTGAATTAAAGCTGGGGTGCCTAACTTTCAAACAACAAGAACACAATTCACCTAACGAGAAATGCAATGTGTTGTTTGGCCTCAAAAAGTCAAAAAGTGACTCACAGGGCTCTGTCTTGTTTGTTAAATATACCATGCACCAATAGGATGTAGAATGAAGTAGTCTGATGTATTCACATTATCAAACTCTCGCAACGCTATTTTCCATTGGAACAAAATGTATACGTACAGTGGTATGAAAAAGTTTGGGCACCCATAACAATTTTGTATGGATTTTCCTTTATAATTCATTGGTTGTTTGGATAAGAAATGCTTAGTTAAATATCATAAACGAGGCAAACATAGTGATATTTGAGAAGTTAAATATTTTTGTTTGTATCATTTACAGAAAGTGGACAAGAAATATTTACACCAAAAGAAAAAGTAAAAGTTTGGTTCCCCAGCTTTAAAATAAGTTTATGTATGTTATCTAACTATTATTTTGTGTGTGGATTCCAAAATATGGTTTTATTCACAAGATCAAACTCCAGCATCACTCTTTCCATTATAATATATGTATAGTAGTAGGGCAAAATATATGTATAGTAGTAGGGCAAAATATATGTATAGTAGTAGGGCAAAATATATGTATAGTAGTATAGTATGTGATAAAGAAAAAGTTAGGTTCCCCAGCTTTAAAAACAAGATTACACCTATTTTTCCGTCTTACAAACTACCGCCACACATTCCCCCCAGTGCTTTCATACATCCCATTAAGGCAGCGTTAATGGTTTTGCTCAGAGCTGGGCCCCTTTCTTCCCCAGCTGCAGATTCCCAAATATGGCAGAACTCGGTCGTCTCTGGATCATTCCCAGCTTGAGTCTGAGCCTGAGTCTTTCCATTATTTACTGTCACTGCTAAACCAAACACGATCGCCTTTTCCAGGAGCGAGACTTCCAAACATGAGATCACCTCCCGCTATACAACGAACCTCGAATTTATGAACTTCTGCCTGCAGTTTCTCAATAGTCTGCCCGATCTCTGCTAGCCGCGGGTCCACGCTCGCCGGGTCGCCCATCTGGGGATTCTTTGCATAAACGTCTTTCATCTTCAAAAGTCCATCCCTAGAAGAAGAAATTATTCATGTGTGTGCGGGAAAAAACCAAGCAGTTAAAGATGAAGCAAAAACACCTCCGAGTTCCTCCAGCTCTAGATGAATATTTGACACAGATATTTATTTTTCAAACCTTGTGTCCATTTCTTTCTGAATGTCTTTGTTGATATCGTCGAGCTTTCCTTGTAGTTTCTTTCGTCTCTGCTCGGGCGGGAGATGGCTGAAGTCCTCTGGCCCAGATCCCTGAAGAGAATAACAGAACAGGGATTTGTATTAAACACGTTATAAATAGTTATTATGAATATTTATTTTTGAAGGCAATTTTCTACTTTTGTGCAGTATCTCCTCATAGTTTAAGCCCGTTATCTTATTTATAATGGATGAATGCTTTATAAGTATAAGGATTTTCTGGAAGATACTGCAGTTTCAATGTGTAGACCGAAACCTCATCAGAGTGAGTTCCAAAATATCTCAAACTGTATCATGAAAACGTACAGAAGGCTCGGCTAAACATGGTCGCTATGTGTGATGAGATTAACTCCCAGAGCAGTCAATTTGACGGCTTTTAGTATTGGAATCGTAATCAGCTAATGCACTTTTTTATTTTAAAACTTTGTGACTATTCTGAATCCATATGTAGTTAATTTCAATGTATTTATGTTTATGAAATTATCTTATCCCAGAGCCGTCATTTTGACTGCTTGATGTAATGCCATTTCCGGTCGCTTTGGAACTAACATTCTATGGCATTTCAAGCTCCTTTTTCTCCAAGGTGCTGGCCCCGGACTGGTTCTGGTTCAGTTTGGTTTTGCCACCAGAGCAGAGCCAGTGCTAGTTACCATAATAATAATAATAATAATAATAATAATAATAAGTGTGTTCATTTGGCCATATTGCGACACACTGTTTACTTGCAGCAGTTAGCATTTTCTAGCCTTTTTCCAAAATGTTTGAGCAAAATTTGAAGTTCAATATTCACCAGTTTTAGAATCTATTAAAAGTGAGTAAAGATAAAAAATATGTACAGTACTTGAGATTTTCATAATTCCATTGGTGTGAATGGAAAATTTATTAAATGACTGCTCTGGGAGTTCTCGCAGTTTCCGAATTCTGGGAGTCCTATAATGTCAAATCTGGTTTATAGAAGTGTGTGTATCATATTCCTCGGTGAAGATGCTTCTCGTCTGGAACGCTGAAAGCATGAGTCATGTTGCCCGGCTGCTAACCCCCTCCGTAAACACACACTGTATCAACCAAACTGCACATCTGCGTGACCCAGAAAAACTGATTCTGATGTTGTTGTGAAACGTGAACTCGCGACTGAAGAGGTCAAGGTCTACAATCTTAAAGCTTGGGTCACAGTGTTGCACCATGGGAATCTGGTGGTGGGTCTAGTTTTTGGGATTGAGGATTCACTACACATGTGGCTTACCCTTGATCGTGGCATACAACACTTACCGGGCATGCAAGAGATTAGAATGAGTGAGTATTCATGCAGCACCCATGCATCTACTCTATTACACCAACAGGAGTATCTCAATACATTTCAATCACCAATCTACACAGTTGAATATCTATAACGACATTCAGTACTTCCTGGACTATAAGCTGGAACTTCTCTACGGCCTATATACAGTGCAAAAAATATAAAATATGAGGGTTTTTTTTTTTAAATCTCAATTAGAATACATTCTGACTGTCTTAAAACACATTTTTCCAATGGGTCAAAGCCATTTTGTCTTTATTCTAGAATCATTGCTTTATTTTGTCATTCTAGGGGAGACATTTCTTGTATCTTTAAAAACAAGATCATTTGGCTTGTCCCATTGGCAAATCTTGTTTTAAGGCAGTCCAAATGTGTCCAATGTAAGATACATTAGGCAAATTTTGAGCAATTTTTTGACATATTTTTCATCACTTTTAGCAGTGTAGAGATGCAGCCAATGTGTTTGATTGTATTTTGTTAGAGCGCCTCCTAGGGTACAGGAACAGATCAGGATATTCAATTCTATTAAATGTATTCATGTATAGCCCAACATAACAACAGTAGTTATCTCTGAAGACTTAGTTGTGTTTTAGGGTTAAACAATTAATAATAAATTAGATACAGCTCTATCAGTGGGTGACCTCCAGAGCTGATGATGTAGCACACATTCCTGCTTCTCAAAATGTTTATGTGAACAGTAGAGAGCCGATACGCAGGGAAATACAAAGAGTTTATAGACATTTAGAACTAGTAGGGATGGGACAGAGGTTTATTGTCTTGATAGACTGGATTCAACAGTGTGTTAAAACCTCGTCATCTAATCGTGTTGGGTCAAGTTAAAACAGTCGTTTATCCGCTTTGTTTTCAGCTGTTAGTTAAATGCTTATAAATATTGCGGTTTACATACAAGTGAGGCCTGTATGGGGACAACATTGACTTTCTCTTCGGATTTAGCTGGTGCGGTTTGTATACAGGTGTGCTTAAAAGTCCAGCAAGTACAGAAATTGACTCCAAATGATATGTACAGCAAAGAATTAGCATAACAATATAGTTATTTTCCCATATCTAATGTTTAAATTTTCATGTTCACATTATAGGTATTCCATATTGCAATGCTAACTATAAATGTGCTAGGACTACTTTTGCGTATATCTCCGTTATATTTAGTTTTGTAAATGAATCCACTGTTGGGTTTAGGGCTAACAATCAATAAGACATCACAACAGTTAATTCTTCTCAAAAAATAAATGTAGGATTAGTGTTTTAGGCAGAGACAAACAGTTGATTGAGACACGGACTACAAATACACAATAAAGACAGAACATGGAGTATTTTTGATCACCTCAATGAGATTCCGGACGTGGGAATTGAGTGTGATCTGCACCATAGAGACAGAGGTGGGGGGAAGGACATGACGAGAACAGGATAACATAAAAAAGACAAATAATATAAAAGGACAAAAAACACACAGGTCCGCGGTGCATCTTGGGCCGTAAATAATGTAAATAACATAAGCATCACATGGGGCGACAGTAGCTCAGTTGGTAGAGCATTGGCCTTAAGCCCAGAAGGTCTTGGGTTCAATTCCCACCTCTGCACCTTCTCCTCCGACTCCCACTGATGACTGCTGTCGTTGTGTCCTTGGGCAAGACACTTAACCCCACTTTGCCCAAAGCCCCCACTGAAAGATCGAGGCTATGCTCACACTCAGAGAGCAGCCGTCCTCCTGTGGACTCACCACCTGCAGAGGGTCAGTGAGGGGCTGGTGCTGTGAGACTTGGGTGGCATCTCTGACTGCCACCCCCCTGACCCAGAAATGGATTAAAGGGTAGAAAATGGATGGATGGATGGACATAAGCATCACGTGGAACAGTGTTACAGGGGGAGGCGTGGCATGCGTCCTGTGGTCATGCAGCTAGTTGTGGGGACTACGGTCATGCTTACCAGCTTGAGAGAAAGCTTCACGGGGGAAGAGGAGAGAGAAATGGCGCAGCAGGAGAAAAAAAGACAACAGACATAAGTAAAATACATCAAGCACTTATATTTAAATATATCATAATCGATGATGATGATGATGGTGGTGGTGGTGGTAGTGGTGATGGTGGCTGTGGTGGGGCCTACTTTTCCATGAATATAAGATTAACCAGTCACTCAAAAACCTTAATGAAAAATGATATATGCCGTGTTAGTTAAAAGGCCAAAGCTTTAAGTATAAAAATGTAAATAAAAATGCAGGAAATGAAGTAGAGAAGAAAATTAAAAATACACGTTTCTTTTACAGGCCAAGCATTTACCTATATGTGACAGCAGAGGGCGCTTGTGGTATGTACTACTATTACCGAGTCTGATATGGACAGAGACAAATGTTCTACACACATACACAAGAAGACATTTTCTTTTGTCCCAGCGTTACTGTGAAAAGCCTCATATAACACCCAGGCAAAAATATGGACAAAACATTGCCCTGAAACTCCTACGACAAACACGTATTCACATGTATATTGTGGGTTTTTTTTTAACAAACAAGAAAAAACAACATCGACTTCAATGTGGGGCAACAGCACAAAGAACAGACCATGAAAGAAAAGGGTAACTTCCTAATGAGTCTGATTTGATAAAGTTTAGAAAATCAAGCGATGTGAATAGAACACAGGGCTGGGTAAATACGTGGGAGGTTGGGATAGTAATTAATTTGACTGTTTCTTTGTGAATTGACCCCAAATGTTCACAAGAGAAGGCCTGATGCAGCTGCAGGACATACGGCCGAGACCTTTAAGCAGATACATGTGATGTGGAATGAAGTCATCATCATCTTCTATCGTTTTTCTCCATCAGGAAGAACCATGTGATCAATACCAAGACAAACACACTAGCCTCCTTTGTATTTTTGTTCATAAACAAGCTCTTTATAGATGATTTGCCACATATAAAAAAACATGTATTTGAATGAGGCTACTGTCTGTTATTCTTAGTAATGACACATCAAGTATTGTAGCAGTAGGCATACCTCAGTCACTGTCCACCACACACACTTACAAAATATTGTCTGGCCTCAAAAGCATAAGTTGGTTGACCCAGAGTCCTCTTCATTAGCTCTCTGTGATAAATGAGCGAGCGAGGGGAAACTGGCTGTTGTAATCATCAGAAAGAATACAGCTTAATCACAACGGACAACTTACTGGCTATACGACAGACAGTATGCTAATCGAACCAGCGACAAAGCGATTTACTTATTTACCTATTGCAACAGGTGCAGCTGCACATAGACAGTGGATACGGATGCATTTTGGACAAATATATGTGTATACGACAACAACAACATTGGGGATATCTCTCTTAAACAGAAATATACATTCATATAAGGACAAATGGTACTTTAGCCTTAGTGTGATTACACAACAAACCAATTCCCTTAATAAAATATCTCATAAAGCCTGAACCGGTGTCAGTTTGAGCGCTTTCTTCTCAAACTAACCGGACATTGGAAAGTTTTGTTTTTTGTATTTAGTGCCAAGAAAAGCTGTGCTAAGGTCAACTTCAATGGTGGTTCTGAATATAGCACAATACGCCTGATTTCACAGGTCATTTTATCTCTCTCAGCAAGAGCTGTTTCAGCACTTCCGTTTACAGAACCCTGTGTTTCCTGTTCGATGTGTTCTACTTTACACGACTAGAAAAACACACACTTCTCTTTTATGTCCTTCCTCCAAACAGTATTGTGTGTGCAACGAAACATTGCTCTAAAATTGTCCCTGTTGCAAATTTAGACATTTGAATGAATACTTTTGAATGTCTACATGAACCACAAAAGTCTTAAAAAAATCAAGCCCCGGAAGGAACCAGTGAGACGCCGCCTATTCCCGAGGTCAGGGACAGCTGAAGTGTGGCAGGAAGAATGGCTACAGTCTGACCTGGTCTGGATCTACTCGAGTACTGCTGATATAGTGATAATACGGACACACTTGCTGGACTATGAGACGCAACTTTTTGTTCAAGATTCTTCTGTGTAGAGATGTGGCCAATGCATGTATTTAATTTTTTGCTAGAGCGAGAAAGGAATTTGGACACAGCTCTATCAACTGATGGCATAAAACACATTCCTCCTCCCTGATGTGTTTATGTGAACAGCAGAGAGACAATATGAAACGTTAGGGAAATACACAGAACTATCTTTTATCTAATTGGGGTCAGAAGAGAGTTTATGTACTTATAATGTATTATTATTAATTTGTTATTGCCAAATAGAATAAAACACCTCATCATTACATCATGTGTCCAGTTGTCTATCAGCTGTGTTTTTCTCCATCGGCTGTTGCTTAAGTGAAACATTAAAACATAAAAACCTGCGGCTTATATTCATGTGCGGCCTATATGTGGACAACTTTAGCTTTCTCTTAATGACTATGGTGCGGTTCATAAACAGGAGCGGCTAATAGTCCAGCGAGCACTGTACTTGAGGCTTGTATGGTATAAGCGCCCACCTCCTTGTCACAGGCAAAAACACTCAGTTAGCATCCTGAAACATGTTCAAGGGAGAGGGAAGTGATGGGACCTCACTACGTAAACATGAAGAATGAAGGAACAGGTCGCGGGTGAGTGAGATACCCAGACAATGAGCTGATATAATGAGATACAGAAGCAAAAGCTATAAGCCAAACCGCCAAACAGTGTATGAGTGACTGCCAGTTTGTACATTCTCTCAAGAAACTTTCTCTCCAGAGTCAAATACAAGAACTGCAGAATAAAAAATCAATACATCAAATCATCTAGGCTCTGTACGTTTGAAAGGACACGGATATTGGAATCACCACAATGTCAGAATTTGGATCTGATTATGTCCTAATCCTGTTTTTCACATACTGGAGTTAGCTAAGTCTTGGCTTAGGTCTAAGGATTAGTTCTGGTTTACATGTAGTCATGTCTAAACCTGCTTACATTTGGAATAGAGCCTTGTTTAGTGGTTTGAGTCGACTCCCAATACTTTAAGCTTGTAATGTATTGTATTGTATTGTATTGTACTGTAAGCTGGGGTACCTAACTTTCTCTTGTCAAACATTTTGAGGGTTGTTAAAGTAAAATACTACCAACCAATTAGAAAACGTGTCGTATACTTGTAAGAAAGATCCCCGCGAGTCACTATTTGACGCTTTGGGCTGAGCTCTGATTGGCTGAGTGAAGGTTGTCCGCTGTTTTTCACTTTTCTGTCTGAAAAAGCTGCTCTGAAGATGTGACACAGGCCAATAATATACATGCATGTGGAATCTAAAGAGACAGATCAAACCGTTAAAGAGCCAGGATATAGCTTAATAGATGTGATAGATGTAAACGTGCGCTGTTTAAAAAATATATATTATCATTTCATAGTTATTACAGATGTATGTTTATGTGTGTATACTGTATGTATTATGTATATATGTATATTTGTTATTTTTTGTCTTGTCTGTATGTTTTAAATTGGACCAAAAGTCTTTAATAATTGTATGTATATCAATTTTTGCGTTTTTTATTGCTTTTATTCCTATAATGTTTTTTTCTTTCCCCATGTCATTTTTTTGCCTGTCAATCACCTTGGGTTACATAAATAAATACATAAAATACCTAAATAGAGCTTTATAAATACATTTGCCTTGCCTTACCATGTGTTAAAGTCGTTTTAAAATTAGATACCCCAGCTTTAACACCATGCCTTGTTCATTTTGTGGTTTCGTCTCATGTCGTCACTCATACACTGCCGCGGTCACCACGCAGCGTACGCACAGGTGACGTGACACACAGAGCTGCTGGGCACTTACCCCTCGCCTCAGGCTCCGTAGGCAGTATATTTTGGGTTTGGAGGTCATGAAGTCGTTGAGGCGATGGGACAGGGGCTCCTTGTGCTGCTTGGGAGACTGGGGGTCGTTGGGAACAGCAGAGGATGAGGATGTGGCTGGGGGAGCGGGTGGGGGCTGGCGGGGGGACGTTAACAAGGACATAAGCTAACGATAAGAGAGAGGAGGGAGCCGTTGCGGAGTACAGGAGACAAAGGAGGTGTAGGAGGAAGCAAAGTATGGTAGTAAAGCAAAGGAGTTCAAAACGACGAGAAAAAAGACATAGAAGGAAAAGGAGGGAACACAAAACGAAATAAATAAGCCTAGCACCAGTATTTAAAATTAACACATACGGTTGTGCTTGGACGTTCGCACACCCAGCCGTAGATGTCGGTGTTTTGATCATATTTTGGAGATTTTGAATGATAACACAATTTCTTTTTTGTTGCTCCCGGTGATTTTTTGTGGTTGTGTGAAGTCATGTATTGTCAAACAAGCTTGTTTTCTATAATCAATTTGAAATTAGCGGAAATGTATGTAGTAAACTGATTCTGATTCTGAGATAATTGAATATTGAGTTGAGCAAGGCGTACCCAGGGATTTACAGCAACAGGGAGTTTTACCATCAGAGAGAGTCAAAAAAACCTCATCCACATCTACCACAAAAGTATCTGTGACATGTTAGTACATATGAACCTCAAAATTCAATGATTTATTGTCATTGTCATATTTTGGGCATCATAAAAGAGCGTATAAAGCGCAGATGTTGGCAGGATGTAACCAGGCACAGGGCTAAATGGCTCAGGGCTGCGGCGACAGAGCACGCCACCATCTTGTATTTTATATATGAACCTCCGTATGGGTAGTCCCAGAGTCAGGACTACTCATGAGGAGGCAGCGTTTTCATTCTATGCATCAACAACCTGGACCAGTCTTCGTGAAAATGTGAGACAAGCTTCTACTCTGGCAATGTTCAAATCCAGGTTAAAAACAGTTATTAGGATTGCATATTCACTTCACTGAATTTAAGTTTATTTATCATTTTAATTCTTGCAATTTTATAATTAATTTCTTGTTTTGTTAAGTATTTGTGAATGAACTGAGCCATATAAATAAACTTCCCCTGCTTTGCCTCAAAGGAGCAACACACAAGCTATCGAGAACTGGGGGAAGGACACTTACCCAAGCTAATTTCAGTCATTTCTGTTGCCATTCAAATAAGAACACAGGAAACACGTTTATTTCACTACAAATGGCTTCCCCCAACCACTAACAATGAGTGCAAAAAAAAAAAAAAAAAAATTTGGTTTGTGTTATCATTCACAATCTCATAAATATGGCCAAAAATACCGAAACGTCTGTCTGTGGGTGTGAAAACCTTCAAGTACAACTCTAAATTAATCACCAAACAAAACAAAGAAAATGAACTTTCAAGTTATAAAACAAACACAAAATGTATTAAGACAACTCAAAACATGTTAATGAAGAAAAGAGAGCGAGTAGAGGTTGCCAGCATCGAACCGGTGAAAGCAAGCGGCCGCCACAGAGAACACTGCACACGTGAAGCACATGCAGAAATCCACTCTGTAACTCTAACTTTCAGGAAGTCACATGCAAGCTTCAAATGAATGTTTACCACAGCTTCAAGAGAGAGCGCAGTTTGGGCCGATTGATTTCTCTACCCATCGCTCTAAAAGCATTTGACGAATCATGAAGAGGAACCAGCATGCTTTCCCAGGACACCCAAGAAGCAAGAAACAAGTCCGCTACTCAACGATAGTTAAAGACCAGCAGCTTGTCGTCAAAATGCTAAATTTCTCAGCCATCTCCCCACACACCCGTCACATGCACCCTGATCCACTCAACACCAGCATACTCCCATTAATCAGAGTCATATTAATCAAGGAAGACGTTAAAACCCGCAGAGATTAGTAAATTCTGCTTCCTCGCATGTGGTCACAGAGGATGTGGCGTATTAGTGAGTTGTCTTGAAGAAAAGTGGCTCCATAATAAGGGGCAGTGAATCGCCGGTGCAAGACTATGGCAGAGGAACTGTAAGTATATGGTTGCAAATAATAACAAGAAGAAAATGGCAAATCTAAAACTATAAGTTATACTAAAAAGTAAAAGGAATAAATGCTACTGTTGTAAAAAACATCAAAGAACAATTAGAGTATTTCAAAACAAAAATAGAAAAAAACGATATTCTATGACTATAAACCTTACCTTGTTCTTGTTCTTTATAAAAGGCCACAGTTTGCCTTTGCTTTTTCCTGTGGATCTTTCTTTGACGTCTCTGGAATTAGACAAACTATTTTCTGACACGGTCCTCTTCATGGCTTGTCCATAGTCTTCGAACTCGACATCTCCCGGAGGCTCGAACCCCGACTTGTACGACTCCACCACCTGATTTGAGTCCTGTTGGAATAGAAAAAAAAAAATTTCAATTCAATGTCATTTTGTATAGCCCTCAATCACAACAGCAGTCGTCTCGGAGGAATTTACAAAGTTGCCGATTCGTCAACAGCAGAGAATCAAATGCAATGCAATCATAACAAACACATAAGAGTCATTGGTCCACAGGGGGAGGGATGACCATAAATGTCCTAAAAGATCCCGGAACATCCCTGGCTTTAGGGGATGCGTGCGGGCGGCACGGTGGCTGAGTGGATAGCACTCTCGCCTCTCAGCAAGAAGGTCCTGGGTTCGAATCCCGGCCGGACCAGGGCCTTTCTGAGTGGAGTTTGCATGTTCTCCCTGTGTCTGCGTAGGTTTCCTCCGGGTACTCCGGTTTCCCCTACCACTAAAAATATGTACAATAGGTCTGGCATGCGCCTCCTGTACTGGCCCCGCTCCCATCTCTGTGTGGAGTGAGAGGACAAGTGCCCAAAAAATAACAATTGTAAACCGCTTTGTGACTCTGGTCTGTGAAAGGCGGTATATAAATAAAGCTTACTTACTTACTTACTTATTTAGACCAGGGGTGGGCAATTATTTTCCCTCACGATATCGCCCTATTTTGGAGAGCCGGGCCCAATTTTATTAAGCAAAAAGCAACTAATAACATTACTAATAACATGTTCATTATGAGAACAGAGTACATGTATAACCATGGTAGCATATATTAAGGATTATGTACAGATGTATACACACACCTATATATTACTTGCACTAGAATATACAGCATTTTATACTTAGTCCATACTATGCTAAGTCAGGGTTTTTAGTACTTAAGTCTTGCTTCCTTATTATGCTAAAGTTGGCGATTTTGGACTTCTTTCCTTACTATGCTAAAGTTAGGGATTGTATACTGCTTCTTTTTATGCTAGAGTTGAATATCTTATTTTATTTTATAGAGTTATTATTAATTTATCTTGTGTTGTGTGCTCCCCACTCCTACTGTTCTGTAACTTGTGATGCAACACTGAAATTTCCCCTCTGTGGGACGAATAAAAGATCTCTGCCTCTTAATATTACAAGCCTTCAATGGGAAAGGACTTCTGATTCATTTAAATAAGCAACAGACGGATTCGAGGTGACGGGCTGGGAAGGGTCCCGGGGCCGCATAGAAATGAGAATTGGGCCGGATCTGGCACCGTATTTTGCCCATGTCCTGCCTTAGACCCCTCAGCATCAGCAAAGAACGACTCAAAACGTCAACAAACAACAAATAAGCACATAAGTGATTTAGGGTTAATACCGTATATCATTGCATTGTTGTTGCTGTTTTAAACTATATAGGTCAAATCCCGATAGGAAAAGTGACGTGAGTGAAGAGGAGTGTGGGGTCTGATAACAGCTGGAGCCTGGTGTTTGGATAAGGAGGAGGATGTGCAGCTCTGACTTCAAGAGAAACCAGAGAGTGTGCACGAGTGGGAAAGGAGGTATGTGGTATGTTATAATGTTCTGTTGTTTTTACACTTAGTCACAGGCTGCAGTCGTTCACTGGAGCAGGGCCATACTTCCATAGAGGATCCCTAAGTACAGACTGGATGTGTGTGTGTGTGTGTGTGTGTGTGTGTGTGTGTGTGTGTGTCCAGGGGTTGTCTTGTTTTGTCGCAACTCAGGCACCAAACATGTGATTTCTTTATGAGTCAATACTGCTGATTTATGGGCGGGAATTTTTCCGTAAAAAAGATGGCATGTATCATCTATCCCTTTGTTATTATCAATTCAATTCAATCAATTCAGGGTTGATATTAAGATTCGGATGCTTGCTTTTAAATGTTTAACACTCAGACTCCCAGAGCAGTCAATTTGACGGTTTTTAGTTGTGGAAATGTAATCGCAAATGTTCATTCTTGGTCGTCATAACTCTGTGACTCGAATTGTTTCTATATATAGTTTGTTCCTATGCCATATTTTTAGTTGGAACTGAACTGGTCCTGACTTGGTTCTTAACTAGTTCTGGTTCAGATCAAGTTCTAGGCACTATAGCAACACAGTTTACTGTAAGCAGTTGGCATTTGGTCTTTAACAAACTGTTTTTTTGTTGCTGTGTTTCACGTTACATTCACTAATTATAAGAACCTTAAACATTACTGCCTCTGGTGTTGTTGTCACTGTACCATACAAATACAGTCTGCTTTATAATATCTGTAAATATTGTGTAGGTTGAAAATAAACTCACGGTCTTGGGCTCAATAGACTCCGCAGATTTCGTCATTCCGTCTAAACACTTCTCCACGATGGGCAGAACTTGGCGGTCCACGTCGGCAAACGTCTTCATGCACACCCCTAGCTTCTCGATCCTCCTCTCCTCCATGTCTTGAAGTTTCTAGACCAAAAAAGAGAACCGTCACCTCATCATCACACAAAAAGATTTTTTACGGCCATTTTTAACAAGGATATATTTAAAACAGCCCCTGCCATTAGCATAATTATTGCAACTGTTTTTTGAGGGAGGAATTTTGTCCAATCAGCAAGCTAGGTGAGCATGGGCTGGTCTATTGGTATGATCTTTATTATTATAACAACAGTGCACAATAAACATTAGCCAAAAGAAGAGAGGCATTCATTCTTTCATTCTCTCACCAACATTTTAAAAGTATTGTAGTAGACATTCACTAGATCCATTACTAATGTGAATTGTATTTGTCTGTCTAGTCCAGGCATGTCCAAACTAAGGCCCACGGGCGAAATGCGGCCCTCAGCCTTGTTAACCGAATCTGCTGTAGTCTTTGAGATGATAAACACAATTTCAATGTCATTCAGCCAACTTTAGCTCTATCAATACAAGCAATTTCTACCTCATTGTAAAGGTCAGAACCTCCAGAATTCAGGTGTTTACTATAGGCAGAAATTTGATTTAGATTGTGTCATAAAAATTCCCTACAATGCGGTAATGTAGCTGTGGTGAGAGTGTGTTGTTAGCCCTGGTACAAAAAACGTTGGGACACGTCGATCTAATCAAATAATTAAATCACTAATGTGGCGACTACAAAATAATCGTTAGTAAAACTTGCTGCATGCTTGGTGTGTGTTTTACCTGAAAAATACTGGGTATTTGTGTGTAGTAATGGTCATTCTGCTCCTGGTTGAACTTCTGCAGGTAGGAGGAGTACTCGCCCTTACTGTCGTCCGCCATCTGGTGTCTCATCTGCGCTTGCTGTCGTGCCTGATGGGACAAAACAACACACAACATCACAGACAGGCTTGCCCCGGTGAACCTGTACGGTGTCCAGGTTAACGCAGACACACCGGTAATATCCCCACCCACACACACACACACACACACACACACACACAGAGATCTACCCCGCTAGCAGGAGACACATCTGCGAGTGCTTGTGCTCAGGCATGCACAAGCAAACATGTATATAAAGCTTGTGAATGTGGGTGCACGTTTCAATCAGAGAGCAGCAGCCATTAGTATCAGCAAACTCCACTTATATGTAGGTCAAAAAAATAAACGTGTTAGTGTGGCGAACAACCAGCTCGAGTCCAGCAGGGAAAAAGGGATTTGATCGCCTTGTTTTTAGCGCGTTCCGTTTCGATATGTGCTGAATGGCTTGCTGGAGTTGGAAACACAGCAGGAGTAGCCTATTAAAACCAAGGGCAAGCAGATGGACATGAGATTATCTAAGTTAGACAACATGTGGGGGCCGTGTACATTCATTGTGCAAAGTGTATCAGCTTCCTCTATGCGGGAGACTTATGGACGTCCCACCCACTAGCAAGGACTGCATTTTGATTGCATTCTGGCCAGTGATTATTACAATGGAAAGAGTCATATTAACGGATTATACACTGCAAAAAGTGATGAAAAACAAGCCAAAAAATGCTCAAGTTTGGCAAAAATCTATCTTAATTTGAGTACATTTTGACTGCCTTAAAACAAGATTCACCAATGGGACAAAGCAAAAGTATGTTGTTTTAAAAAGATACAAGAAATGGCTTTGTGTCATTGGCAGCTCTTGTTTTAAGACAGTCAGAATGCACTCACATTAAGACAAAAACCACTCGATTCAAGCAATAATTATTTTTTACCTCATATTTAATCATTTTTTGCAGTGTATTCTTTTGGAAAGGAGACAGTCAAGCAGTTTTTTTTTTTCCCCAGGCCTGCATCTGTCAGGTAATATATCAGCATCACACTGTCACACATGTGGTTAAATCATGAAGCAATAAAAAAGGAAAAGCAATCAGATGACTCATTTCCGAAAATAAGAGAACAAAATACAATGTGTAGATATTGAATAAATGCTTCACAATATGCCCCTCGATGCTGTTATACGACAGTCAGTGTTAGTGCATGCAAATGTGCTGGTTTGTGTCGAGAACTGTTCGCTATGGTAACCTGGCTGCGACTGAAACCGCATCACTTCCTGTTGGTGTTATCTTTAAATAAACCTATTGTTGCTATGGTTACTTGTATGTTGTGCTGAATGTGGAAAGTGTTAGAACGATTACTATATCACTATGCAGCGAAATGATTAGGATTTAGGATTAGAACAGTAGATAATAGAATATACTATGTGATCTGCTATAGTGAGAGATTTTGTACGAAATTCTTGCTTCTTCCTTGTGCTAAAGTTGTAGATTTTAGATTGCTTCCTTATCATGCTAAAGCTAGAGATTTTAGATTGCTTCCTTATCATGCTAAAGCTAGAGATTTTAGATTGCTTCCTTATCATGCTAAAGCTAGAGATTTTAGATTGCTTCCTTATCATGCTAAAGCTAGAGATTTTAGATTGCTTCCTTATCATGCTAAAGATAGAGATTTTAGATTGCTTCCTTATCATGCTAAAGATAGAGATTTTAGATTGCTTCCTTGTCATGTTAAAGATAGAGATTTTAGATTGCTTCCTTATCATGCTAAAGCTAGAGATTTTAGATTGCTTCGATATCATGCTAAAGTTTGAGAATTTATGTTATTTTATGTTATGTAAACGGTAACACGCCATGCTTTTCCTTAGTTTTGTGTGTATTAATTATAGCTCTCTGGGTATTCCTTTTTCATACATTTTGAAGAAGCTAATGTGTAAATGGAAAACAGGGTGGGATTAACCTATTTAATCCCACCCTGTTTTCCATTTACACATTAGCTTTTTTAGCACATTTTTTAAGATAAAATTGTTTATTGATTTTGTTATAGGTATGTTTTTATTGATAATCCCATAGCAAATGTGGTGCTCCTGTGTTTGCCTGATATAAATACAAAAAAACATATTTATACATTAATTATAGCGTCATTGTTAATTTATCTTGTGCTGTGTGCTCCTCATTCCTACTGTTCTAATGTAATTCTGAAATCTCCCCACTGTGGGACAAATAAATCCTAATATACTTTATGGCTGTCATAAAACAAGTCACTGGGCAGGAGTGGTCCCTGGTTGCACTGGACAAGCAGATAAACAGTGACCCGGTCAATGCTGTGAGTTTGTGTCTGCGGGGGGAGAGTGTGTGAATCGCAACACAAGGCAGACAGAATGTTCCCACAGATAAAATAAAAAATACACTTTTGTCCACTGGGCCTACCTTGGAACTTCGCTTCAGCGCATGCCATAAAATCATACAAACATACACGTAAAAAAAAAAGATGTTATCTGTTTCCTCCTAAACAACAACATTTGTATAGAACCGTTTCCTGACTCACAATGATCTCACAAAGCGCAGGAAAAAAGGCGGTAATACCAAAAGCAAACACAGATGGCGCCACATCCACTGCACTGGTCAGCACTATAACCATATACAAGTCATGAAACACATATATTAGCACAACCACCGTAACCTTAATCAGGGTGCTTGCTCTTTTTCCAAATCAAAATGGACTTTTTTTAAAACCGGCATTTTTTCCCCCAAGACCTTAGCAGTGACATTACGAAAATCAAAAAAGCAAGCGTTGATTGGATATCATTCCATTAGGCTTATACAACACATGACCAGTTAGTAAAATTATAGTTATAGCCTACCTTCCCATTTCTCATTTCACAATGCCTTTGAGCATACTGTAAAATTCTAACATACTTTTTTTTTTTCCATACTTACTAAGACTTTCAAGACTTACAAAAGCACCCTGTTAATGTTTCAATTTGTATAGTTTTCTGTTGTGTTATTATTATTATTACTATTGTTATTTCAACTCAAATATCAAATTAACAAATAACTTCTTACTTTATATTATTTGGACAGAAGGCAAAGGCATGCTCTCACTTCCTCCCTTTGCGTAATAATTTCATGTGTGTGTCAAGTGTGAGGCAGAGATTGGAGCCAAATACTGATGAGGCGGCACGCACTGCTGACCAGAGATGCTCTCCGGCCGTGGGAGCAGTGGGAGCAGTGGGAGCAGAAGGACAATGTGGACGCTCCTTTCAATTAGCCCGGATAACAGGAAATGACATCTGCTACAGGCGACATATGGCTACACTCCCTTCTGCAAGAGCACCAGTGAAAAAAATAAATATATAAGGCACAATATCAAAGTCTTGTCTAAAAATAAGATTCCCGGATTTCTGAAACTACTAGAACTCCCAAAGCCGTAATTTTATTTTCGACTGCTTCCATTAAAACCAGTGGAATACTAAGAAATTCCTCCAAAATGGTTTTGTTTTTTGTTTGATTTAAAGGAAGTAGTTTACACGGTCTTAACATTTACTCACTTTTAGACAAGAGCTAAAATGAACTTGAAATACAAGAAAGGCTAAATGCCAACTGCTAACAGTAAACAGTGTGTTGCTATGGTAACTAGGCTCTTCTCTAGGAGTTTATGGTAACTAACAACTCACATGTCAAAAATGTAAGATAATTTAATCAAAAATAAAGACATAGAAATAAACCACACGTAGAAACAGAAAATGCCACAAAGATATGAAAACTAAAAAACTACATGAGCAGAGAAATTACACTTTCAAAACTAAAAGCCGTCAAATTGACTGCTCAAAGAGTTCTAGTAAAAGTATTTGTTTAATATGTTGAGAGATGGATTAGCTATCGTTTCCTAAAAGTCAAGGTACTGTAAGTAACATTTCAGAAACATGAACAAATCAGATCATATGATGGATTTATCTTATATATTTGAAATACTGAGTGAGAGCTGATTGGCTGAGTGAGGGTGGTCCTCTGATCTGAAGATGTGACACAGGCAAAAAACAAATACATGCATGTGAAAACTAGAACCAGTGTTTTCTTTCATTTGCACCTGTGGAAAACAGCCTCAGTCCTCATTCTACAGCCTGAGTCCTGGATCTACAGCCAGTCCAGTCCGTTCATGGGGGCGGATCCCTCTCTCAATGCGGGCCTACATGAGGTTTCTCACTTTATCCCACAAAGGGCAGTGCTGATTGGTTACATTGGTCACCCTGCACCCTATGATTCAATATTCAAGAATTTATTTGCCATTTGCAGTAAAACCACATTGGGAAAACTGTGCAAGACTACCCCAGTGTGTTTGCATATGTGTTCAAATTGTTTTATTCTCTGATCTGCTGTTGATGAATCGACAACTTTGTAAAGTCCAACAAAAATATAACTTAATTGAAATTAAGAGTAACAAAGCACTTAAATAGATTGCATTACATCATTAATTATTGTGGTTTCAAAGTTAGGTACTCCAGCTTTAAACTAGTTAAGGTTTACTCTATAGGCACCAGAAGTCCAGGGTACTTTCTATACAGCGGCCTGGCTTTCCTCCGTCTTCCCTAAATATAGTAGTGTCTTGTATAATAAGGGAACCACCCTTTGTCTGTTTCCCATCCAAAAGTGGACATATTAAACATATTAGTATTTTTGTATGTGTAATATTTTTTATCAGAAAAGTCACAAACATGAAAAAATGAGTGTCCATTTATTTAAGCAATGCTGATGGTGATTATTGCGCCCATGTGTCCGAAGCCTGTTTGACGGCGATAAAGGGCACAGTGTCCTGCTATCATGGCTCCGCAGACAATACCAGCTTTGACTCACATCCACATGTTTGCTCCCTGTGCTCACTGTTATTCCCTGTCTGGCCTGAGGCGTGAGGAGAAATAGTGGTGGTGGTGGGTACAGTTGGTGAGAGTGAACGGACGGTGGTGAAAAAATGCCGTGTTTTAAAAAGCTCTGAGGCCCAGGTTGGCGTGTTAGTGAGACGAGGCGTACCTTCTCCACATCTGCCTTAGTCACGTTTATGTCTGCGTCCATCTTCTCAAAGTGCTGCTGCGCCCGGTCTGCCTCTTTGCAGTCCCTCTCGAAGCGTCTTTTACACTGGAAAACAATAACAGCAAATTGTTTCACGTGTATCAATCTAAACGTGGATGGGGGGAGGGGGAGAAGCATTACAGGAGGGTTCAAGGACAGTGGTGAGGATCCAGGATGCTCGAAATTCAACAACATTTATGGACTTGGTCATCCGCCCCTTTTGCTTTTCTTGTTTTCTTGTTTGATTCTCTGATCTGTGTTGACGAATTTGATGGTTCTGTAAAGTCCAAATGCTACAGCTTGGAAAACAAACCGTTTCTCCAATTCATTTGTGCCCTCTGCTATAAAGGTATTACTGTATTTCAAGGCCAATTCTCAGCCTAGCCCTTCATTTGTGCCTTTGCCCTAGATTTTGCACGTGCCCGCAGAGGTTTTAGGGTGTCCCAATACTTAGGGAGCAACGGCAAGAGCACTCCCACCCTTAAAAAGGCCCCTTGCGCACAAGTAAGCGGCGGACCACACTTACAATGCATCATGAAAAAATGAAATCAGCAACACAGATTTTTCAGACTCTTGATGGTGCCACATTGAGGCCTCAGTGTGTGTTTGTGTAGAGTCTGTGTCTGAGATTCTGTTGCTAATTAATTGCCCTTTTGGGATCAATTACGTTTTTTGAATCTGAATCTGAAGTCCTCTGCGATAACTACTATTGTGATTTAGGGCTATACAAGAATAAATTGAATTGATTTACATATACATGCAGAAACTTCTATCCAATCTTTTTCTGTAGAACACTAAAAGGATCTATACATTTTGCTTGTTGACCCTAAAAGACGTCACGACATTTGGATATACGTCAAAAAGTCGTGGAGACCGAAACTAATGCAAGGCTGTGACACCAATACAAGCGCTGTGCGAGTCAGCAGCCCGCGGATTAAATAAATGTTCATAGTGGGGTTTTGTACACGGAAAAGACAACCATTCATTCGGCCTCCTTCGACCCTTCTAAACGAACAATCAGTGTTTGTTGGACAAGCATGCACCGTGAACTATGCCAGTCTTCCACATACACAAAAGGATCATTGAACATGCCGTGGAGTTGAGGAGGACAAGGCAGTAGACTCTCTCTTGATGTCCTGCTCGGTCAAAGGGGTTTGGCGCAAATGGGAAATACAGTATAATTGAGCAACGACTATTTTCATATCACTTTTTTTAATGTATTAGTTAGTAGGGCTGCATGATATATCGAAGAAATATTGTTATTGCAATATTAGTACGTGCAAAATCCATATAAAAATATGCACTTTTAAAAAAATATATTATTATTATTATTTAAAAATTTTCCTTTATTAAAAAACAGACAGACATTCAACAAGAACAACAAACAAAGTATATAAATATGTGCATTTAAAGGTCATTAATGTTGTGCTTATTTTTTGTTATTTGTCTCTTGCGTTTCAATGCAGATTGCAATTTTAGGTGAAAGAAAAAAATATTGCAATAATATTGTTAGAAAAATACTAAACACTTATCGAATGTCGCTCTAACTTCCAATATTGTGCAGCCCGATTAGTTACACAACAAATACATATAAAAAAACAACATATTTCATATTGTCACAGCTGTATTAGGGGTAAGGCAGTATTCATCTCAACTTCAGCCTGAACCCTTTTCGGTCAGGTATTATTTAGCACTAAAAATCTTAATATACACAATTTAGTTATTTTTGTTGTTGTTTCTTATTGTAAACTGTAAACGATCCTTGAAAACATGTGACCTACACTGCAAAAAGTGATACAAAAATATGTTAAAAATTGCTCAGATTTGGCAACATTTATCTTTTTGACTGCCTTAAAACTAAATTTGCCAATGGGACAAGCAAAATTATCTTGTTTTAAAAGGATACAAGAAATGTCTCCCTTGAAATGAGAATATATTGCAACAGTTTCTATTGGCACATTTTAATTTTTTAAGACTTTTCAGAATCTACTCAAAATAAGAAAAAAACACTTGATTCAAGCAATTATTACCACATATTTAATATTTTTTTGCAGTGGATCTAATGTATATAATGACTATAAGAAAAAAACTACTGCTACTAATATGATCATCAATCCTGTTCATATACGTAACTGTCAGACCCAACATGTTGATTAGCATGTGTGTATAAAGAGTGTTTGCACTGCTCCACAGAGGGCGGAGCTAGAAGCAGATACACTGTAGGTTTATGGGTCAATAAATCTCTCCATGGTTCAGCCTCTAATGACCTGCACTAGTAAACCCTGATTGAATGATGCTTTCATACTGTGGCTCCTACATGCACTTAGGTCCACTCTTCACAGATTTAGCAACCGTGATAGGTGTGGTATAAAATATTAATATATATATTTGATATTTTGGGTCACTTACTGATTCCAGTTGTTTCCACGAGCTCTCGATTTGTTGCTGTGCCTTACGTCCTTCTTGGAAGTGCTAAAAGACAAGAAAAGGTTTTGGAATTCAGGTAAAATGTTCAATAAACTATGGGTTTTATAAAAGACAGTATTTTATGTCGTAAGTTATCGTAAAGATACTAGTTTCCACCTGTAGTCCTGGACAGGGGGATGTTAGAATTAGAGAAAATGTACAATAAAACAATCTGTTTTTAGCCGTATTCAATTTAAAATATACATAAAACATCACTCACTCAACACAGACACACACAAACGCATAAACACAGACACATACAGACACACCCACACACATACAGACACATACAGAAACATAAACACAGACATACAGACACATTAGCACACACACACAAACACAGACACACACACAGACTATACACATACAGACACACACACACACATACAGGCACACAGACAAACACACACAGACTATACACATACAGACACACACAAACACAGACACACACTCTCTCTTACTCACACTTAAGACAATAGCACAAACACAGACACACACACAGACTATACACATAAAGACACTCACACACCTACACGCACACACTTTCTCACACACTCACACCTAAAACAATAACACAAACATTGAACTAACATTATATTCTATTCTACTTTTAACGCAGCCCTTTATCAACTCAATGTAAACGCAGTCTCCTCTGGTTTCTGGCGGCGGTAGAAGCTCGAGGGCTGAGTTGCATATCAATGCCCAGCTCCTTTTCAAACTCAAACTCAAACCAAGCAGACACACAAAAGAGTCTTGGCTTCTGCTGAGACTTTTCAGCTCATTGAACGAAACACAAAGTCACCCAGACTTTCTCTGCAGGATGTGAAATCTCGGCATTTGGGACCGTTTTACTGACATGACAATGGATGTGAGAGTTTTGGTGTGAGACTGTTGCCTGGTTCACCTCAGCTACACTGACTTCCTGTTTCCCGAAGTTTCTAGAGAAGCAACAAAAATTGGGAAGTGTTTAGAGGAACTTAGCAGAAGGCAAGGTTAGGGTCGTGTGTCACTGTATCCCGGAGAAAAAACACTTCTCATCATACAGATTACATTCAGATAAAGTCAAATATAAAACTACAATTGATACTCAGCAGCAAAGTCACTCTACAAAACTGAAGGATTTGTGTTACACTGAAAAAGTGATGAAAAATAAGTCAAAAAGGGCAGAAAAACCAGATTTTACAAAGCAAAATGATATTTTCAAAAGATACAATGAATATCTCCCTTGGAATGAGAAAATAAAGAAAAAGTTCTTGAAATAAATGTAATATAAACTATGTGTGTCTGTGTGTATTTGTGTGAGAGAGCAGAGAGAGACCAGAGAGAGACCAGAGAGAGACCAGAGAGAGACCAGATAGAGACCAGATAGAGACCAGAGAGAGAGCAGAGAGAGAGCAGAAAGAGACCAGAGAGAGACCAGATAGAGACCAGAGAGAGACCAGAGAGAGAGCAGAGAGAGAGCAGAAAGAGACCAGAGAGAGACCAGAGAGAGAGCAGAGAGAGAGCAGAGAGAGAGCAGAGAGAGAGCAGAGAGAGAGAGCAGAAAGAGACCAGAGAGAGATCACAGAGAGAGCAGAGAGAGAGCAGAGAGAGACCAGAGAGAGAGAGCAGAGAGAGAGCAGAGAGAGAGCAGAAAGAGACCAGAGAGAGACCAGAGAGAGACCAGAGAGAGACCAGAGAGAGAGCAGAGAGAGAGCAGAAAGAGACCAGAGAGAGACCAGAGAGAGAGCAGAGAGAGAGCAGAGAGAGACCAGAGAGAGAGCAGAAAGAGACCAGAGAGAGATCACAGAGAGAGCAGAAAGAGAGCAGAGAGAGAGCAGAGAGAGAGCAGAGAGAGAGACATTGGCATATCTCAAATTAAGATTAAAACCAAGCAATTATCAACTCACATTTTTTTGCTGTGTAGAAGTACGTATATAATTAATTTGAGAACATTATGACTGTCTTAAAACACAATTTTGGCAATGGGATAAGTCTCAAGAACTGTCTTATTGAGTTAATTTTGAAAGGACGTCTCAAATGAATAAAGTTAAAATTTATTATTAAAAATTATCATTGTTCTTATTATCATCATTAAATATTTTAGAACTCAAGACAAAAATACATCAAAATACTGTGTAGCGCTCCAAAACAGTAGACAAAAGAGAAAAATACTTAAGAATTGCCTCCTCCACCTTAAAACCTTAACCCTAATGACCATTATGTAGCGTAACTTTTCTGTTGGCAAAAGATATGCAGAGTTTTCCTTCACATGAATCAAGAAGTCAAAGAGAAACAAGTAGTTGCGAAGGTGTGTGTGTGCATCGTAAAACAGCAGCACACAATATTAAATCTGCTGCATCACAAGTTGTTGCTATTTAAAGCTGAATTAGTGGCACAGATCTGCAGCGTATTGGCCTCATTATAGATCTAAGCCCAGTGATCAGACAGTCTGCTGACTACAGATGAATCCTCAGCATCGTTCCTCTTTGACGCTCGACACACACATAACACACACATGTATACGTTATTATTTGACTTATACAAGCAGTGTGTAAAAGTAAAACTGGAATTTTAAGATTTATTCAAGGCCAGGGCTAACAACAAACTCATCTGTTTTTGCTAACTGGATGCTGAAATCGGTCAGAGAAGATTTAGTTATTGTCTGGAAAGTCTAGATTGTTATTTATCGGACAATTTTGTATGTTTATTTAAATTGTGGACATTGACACATATGCAGACACACACAGACACATACACACAGACATATACAGACTCACAGACACATACAGACATGCTCACATACATAAACACAGACACACACACACATACAGAGACACACACAGACACAAAAACACAGACATACTGTATACAGACAGACCCACATATACATACAGACATGCTCACATACATAAACACAGACACACACACACACACACAGAGAGAGACACAGACACACATAAACAGACACATGCAGACACAAACATCAACACAGACAGACACACAAACAGACACATACACACACACACACACAAACAGACACACACACAGACACACATAAACAGACACATGTAGACACACAAACATCAACACAGACAGACACACAAACAGACACACACACACACACACAAACAGACACACACACACAGACACACATAAACAGACACATGTAGACACACAAACATCAACACAGACAGACACACACACACACACACACAGACACAAACACAGTCAATGTCTGGAAAGTCTAGAATGTTATTTATCTGAATTGTATTATTATTAATTATTTATTAATCCATGTATTTATTTCTGTATATTGTTTAGGAGCAATATAATCCCAAATATATATTTTTTAATATTTTTTAAACTCCTATTTTTTTTTAAATATAGGCCTTTACCAAATCATTGAGAAGCATTTTGATGATAACAATTCCTTCAGCCAAGTGACAGAGATGCCCCAATGTGGTAGATTTCAGCCCCAAGCTTCACTCTTTGACATAAGGCTCAAGCTGCATATAAAAATATTCTACAATTCCCAGGCAATAATGTTCCTTGTTTTTATACCAAACATCTTATTGGCTGTTGGCGTTACTTGTCACAAACATCAGCTTTGAATCTCTTGTACGCACTTTTGACCTGAGCGGAAATCACTAAAAGGGAGGTTCCATTATGCATTACGCAGCAGCAGCAGCAATCCAGTGGGAATGTGCTGCTCTGCTCTTGGGTGCGCACTGTACCTGCCCAAATAGCTTCTTACACGGTGGGAAGTAACAGGACGTTTTGTAATCCTGCTGTCTGGCTCTGTCTGTACAGTTTCATTCACTTCTCTCAGAGGGATCACAACAAACCCAAACTGCTCCTTAACTATAAAACACCCATAACAAGCAATAGAGTTGTACAAAAGTGTGAGAGCCCAAAAATGAAGTGAAGCATAGAGAGAAGATAAAACAGCCCTAGAAAACCAAAGTTGCAAGAGTGAATGTAAGTGGACGTGTGAAAAACTCCAAAATGAAGTTAGCAGACTTATTTATTTGTTGCTAGACCTGCCTGAGGAGACAAGGCTATAGCACTATCAGTGTCCTCTTTTAAATCGGGGGTGGACCCGGAATAAGAATTAGCCAATGCTAACATATAGCATCTTCTGTCCTCTCGAAAACGTCTTTACAGGATGGTCCAAAAGTTGGCTCTTGGCCCAAAGCTCCGTTCCACATGTGTGTCAATGCTGAGGGGGGTGGATTTTTTTGGACCAGTCTAGTTTAGTCGCTGTGAATTTTTGAAGGCACTCGTTAAATGAATGGGGCTCGGGCCGGCTGACGCATGCGCAGATGCGTTTTTCACATTTTCCAGCCCCCATTTTGAACCTGTCATTGACCGCGGAAGTTGTGGCACAATAGTTAGAACGGCGGAGATAGGCGTGACTACGTCCTTTAATATTTACAGTCTGGTTTGGGCACCTTTTCTCCCTTGGTTTTAAGTTTTATATTATTATTTATATATATTATAATTATATTATTTTTATCAGTTCAAGAATTGACTATTGTAATGCCCTTTATTGTGGAGTGTCCCAATCCTGTCTTAATCGTCTTCAATTGGTGCAAAATGCTGCAGCTCGTTTTTTAACAAACACTCCCAGACGTCAGCACATCACCCTAGTCCTTTTTTCTTTACATTGGCTTCCAGTTTCTTTTAGAGTTGATTTTAAAATTCTTCTTTTTGTTTTTAAAGCCCTCAATGGTCCTGCCCCTTCATACCTGTCTGAACTTTTGACTATTCGTGACTCGGGCAGGTCCTTGAGGTCGTCAAATCAGCTCTTGCTGGAAGTGCCTAGGACCAAGTCCAAGCGTTGGGGTGATCTGTCCTTTTCAGTCGCTGGACCCAGACTCTGGAATAAGCTGCCCCCTGAAATGCGCACCATCACTGATCTTGGCCTTTTTAAATCCAGGCTCAAGACACATTTATTCAGACTGGCTTTTAACATTCAGTAGCACGGCAACACTTTTTTTTTATCTTACTGTTCTATTTTTATTTTTGTTTGAATGAATGTTTTTAATGCATTTTATGTGATTTAATTGTAAAGCACTTTGGTTGCCTTGAGTGTTGTAAAGGGCTCTATAAATAAAATTTGATTGATTGATTGATTGATATAATTTAGTCCAACCAACAGCTTAACACTAAAACAAATAAAAAAGATTTTTGAACTCTCAACCTGCCTTTGTGTCACAAATATGTTTTGTCCTTCGGGTCCAAACAACTACAATCATTATTATTATTTTTATTTTTCATTTTTTATGGCAAATACAGTGTGTGACTTTATGTATATTGATAAATAATAATAAATAAAATATAACTTTATTTTGTAGTCTGCCATGTGTCTAGTTACAGTCCCCCTTGTAACACAAAGGATGGGCAACATGTGACGGCCATATAGAGATGTACGTGAAATACATGAGCCAATGAACAATTCAATAATAAAGTGCTAAGAAAATAAATCTAATACAAAATCAGGAATAGCGAGTCTTACCGATTTCCGTTCACTTTTGAGTTCTTGCAGGAACCGTGACAGCTCATTAATGATTAGCATGGTCAGGTTTTCCGATATGAGCTCATGCTGACCGGCGTAGTCGTTCAATTCGCTAAGTGTTTGTTGGAAAGCTCGACAGAAGCTGTACCTGGTGACGGGACAAAAACGCAGATAAGATTGTAAGAAATATTGTTATCAGGTGTTGGAAAAGCAGCGAGAGAGAGAGAGAGAGAGATGCTGAACTCACTTGCTCTCCTCCTCCTCCCGCGAGTTCTTCTTGGGTTGATACTTCTTTGATAGATTTCTGTAAAAACAAAGGAGGATTTTGAAAAGCCTGGAACACGTGTGGGATATTCCGATGGATGCGATGGAGCTGCCAAAAGATCATTCATAATAAAGATTCAATCAGGCAGAGTGCTGTCCTCCAGCTATAGACCATAGGGCATCAATACTACAGTATGTGCGTCCAGTGACCAGAGAAACACACACGGAGCTGCTGGGCTGCAACACTTTGAATATGTGTCAAATGTTTTGTTGTAATATTGCGGTGACATTGAACGTAACTTTTATGTCTATTACAATTTTCACTGAGGCATTGGTAGAGGATTTTGGTGTATCTTGGAATTTAGAGATCATGTTTGACAAATGTAGAGAGAGACTACAGTGAGACCAGAGAGAGACCAGAGAGAGACCAGAGAAAGACCAGAAAGAGAGATCACACTGTAAAAAGTACTCTGGTAGTTCTCTGGTCTTTCTCTGGTCTCTATCTGGTCTCTCTCTATTCTCTATCTTGTCTCTCTGGTCTCTCCCTGGTCTCTCCCTGGTCTCTCTCTGGTCTGTCTCTGGTCTCTCTCTGGTCTCTCTCTGGTCTCTCTCTGGTCTTTCTGGTCTCTCTCTGGCCTCTCTCTCTAGTCTTTCTCTGGTCTCACTCTGGTCTCTCTCTATGGTCTCTCTCTGGTCTTTCTCTGGTCTCTCTCTGGTCCCTCTCTATGGTCTCTCTATGGTCTTTCTCTGGTCTCTCTCTATGTTCTCTCTCTGGTCTTTCTCTAGTTTCTCTTTATGTTCTTTCTCTAATCTCTCTCTCTAATCTCTCTTTGGTCTCTCTCTGGTCTCTCTCTCTAGTCTCTCTCTGGTCTCTCTCTCTGGTCTCTCTCTCTGGTCTCTCTCTCTAATCTCTCTCTAGTCTCTCTCTGGTCTCTCTCTCTAATCTCTCTTTGGTCTCTCTCTGGTCTCTCTCTCTGGTCTCTCTCTCTCTAATCTCTCTTTGGTCTCTCTCTGGTCTCTCACTGGTCTCTCTCTCTAGTCTCTCTCTGGTCTCTCTCTCTAATCTCTCTTTGGTCTCTCTCTGGTCTCTCTCTCTGGTCTCTCTCTCTCTAATCTCTCTTTGGTCTCTCTCTGGTCTCTCACTGGTCTCTCTCTCTAGTCTCTCTCTGGTCTCTCTCTCTAATCTCTCTTTGGTCTCTCTCTGGTCTCTCTCTCTGGTCTCTCTCTCTCTAATCTCTCTTTGGTCTCTCTCTGGTCTCTCTCTGGTCTCTCTCTCTAGTCTCTCTTTGGTCTCTCTCTCTGGTCTCTCTCTCTAGTCTCTCTCTGGTCTCTCTCTCTAGTCTCTCTCTGGTCTCTCTCTCTAATCTCTCTTTGGTCTCTCTCTGGTCTCTCTCTCTGGTCTCTCTCTCTCTAATCTCTCTTTGGTCTCTCTCTGGTCTCTCTCTGGTCTCTCTCTCTAATCTCTCTTTGGTCTCTCTCTGGTCTCTCTCTCTGGTCTCTCTCTCTGGTCTCTCTTTGGTCTCTCTCTCTGGTCTTTCTCTAGTCTTGCTCTGGTCTCCCAGCTACAATGTGATTCAAACGTGTCTATGTGCCCCATCCCGCTCCATACGGCCACATCCCCCACACCCCTCTCTCTCTCTAGAGCTGTTTGCACTGTTGCTAGGCAGACATGTCACCGCTCCGCTCTGCTCGTCCTTCTCACCCTGTCTCTAATTATAGTTCTTACGCTCATTCATTCATTTATCGCAACCATATGTCATTTGCCACACAGTTCTTGTCACGGGCTCATCCCAAACAAACCAGTGCGTTGAAAAAAAAAAATCATAGAGCGAGATGTATAGGAAAAAATTCACATCAATCTCAGGAGCTTGGCACTGGATTGAAATAACTTAGAGCATAGTGTATTTAATGTGATATTGCCATTATAGAGCCATTTTGTTTCTTTTATTTCTCTTTTGTTTACGGAGTTGTGCTCCTGCTGATATGGATTATAGAATTTGGGGGAGGAGTTGAGTGGTGACTAGACTGGGGCATTGTGCATTACTACATTGCAATGGAAGAGGATTATTTGTGGATTACAGTGGTGTGTTAATGTGTTGTGGTATGTTGAAAGAAGTGGTCAGGGTGTCATGAATGAGCGACGCATAAAAAGATTTACTTATTTGAAAGTTTTGCATATTACTACAGTATATATGCTATATTCATTTCAGCTCAATCACACTGTTACTATCTTTCAGGCTTTAATCATGTTAAAAAGAGAGCAGAGAGAGAGCAGAGGGAGAAAAGAGAGAGAGGAGAGAGAGAGCAGAGAGTCAGAAGAGAGAGAGCAGAGAGAGGCCAGAGAGAGAGCAGAAAAAGAAAACAGAGCGAGAGAGAGCAAGAGAGAAACCAGAGAGAGATCAGAGAGGGAGAGACCAGAGAAAAACCAGAGAGAGAGACCAGAGAAAGACCAGAGAGAGCACAGAGAGAGACCAGAGAAAGACCAGAGAGAGACCAGAGAAAGACCAGAGAGAGAGAGCAGAGAGAGACCAGAGAGAGACCAGACAAAGACCAGAGAGAGACCAGAGAGAGACCAGAGAGAGACCAGAGAGAGAGACCAGAGAAAGACCAGAGAGACACCCAAGAGAGAGACCAGAGAAAGACCAGAGAAAAGAGAGAGAGCGCAGAGAGAGACCAGAAAGAGAGAGCAGAGAGAGACCAGCAAGAGAGACCAGAGAAAGACCAGAGAAAAGAGAGACCAGAGAGAGAGACCAGAGAAAGACCAGAGAAAAGAGAGAGAGACCAGAGAGAGACCAGAGAGAGAGACCAGAGAAAGACCAGAGAAAAGAGAGAGAGACCAGAGAGAGAGACCAGAGAGAGAGACCAGAGAAAGACCAGAGAAAAGAGAGAGAGACCAGAGAGAGACCAGAGAGAGAGACCAGAGAGAGACCAGAGAGAGAGACCAGAGAAAGACCAGAGAAAGACCCAAGAGAGAGACCAGAGAAAGACCAGAGAAAAGAGAGAGAGCGCAGAGAGAGACCAGAAAGAGAGAGCAGAGAGAGACCAGCGAGAGAGACCAGAGAAAGACCAGAGAAAAGAGAGAGAGACCAGAGGAGTGATACAAGAAGAGAATATTTGAAAAGAGCACCACGGCCTGGTCAATGAACTAATCATTGCAATGGTTGATTACCTGTGTCAGCCTTATGGTGCTTCTACTTGGAAAGAGATCAATAGATTAAGCTTTATAACTGTGCTAAGTTGATTAAATGGGATAATTAGGTCTTTGGGGAGCATCACCAACTGGGACCAAAACAAAGGAGTACAGTCTGAATTCAAAATAGCACATCACTAAAAGAATCTCTCGGTTTCTCAATATCTACAACAAGTGTATGTCAATATGCATAAGTGGTATTCTACGCCTGTGTAATAAAAAGCACTTCCACATCATTAAGCGAGGAGGGTGATTGAAAATGTCATGGCCATCTGTCAATGCCCACGTTTAATCAAAATGCAACCTGCTGGGCTGCCCTACTTTTACTTTAGGTATGAAGTATTTTTTTCAATGGTTTAACTTGTATTATCTGTTGAAATATAACATAAAAAGGTCCCAGTAACACATTGAAAAATAAGTACATTTCATCATCAAAAAGGATCAAATGTAAAACCACAGCAGTACCTCGTTTATCGCGGAAGTTTGTTGAAAATAAACCGCAAAAAGAAAAATCTGCAGCTGTTAAGGCTGTAAAACCCCTCACCACACACTTTATTCACTTTTCTAACCACCTGAACCCACAACAGCTGAAATGCAATCACAGATGTGAAAAAAATCTGCTATATGTAGGTCTGAGCGCTGCTGCAGCTGTCAAAAGCCATGCATACACTATACCATACAGCTGCAGAGGACACCAAGGGGCAGGAGCAGGACTGCGAGAAGACCGCAGTGCTTCTCTGAACTAATCTTACGCAGTGCACTTAAGCCATAAAAGTTTTGCTCTGACTTTAAATATAAGTAATTGTCATGTTATGCTATAGCGGTTATATGATGTTATAGGAATGTGACGATATATCGATATAACGATATATTGTGATACTTTCTCCCGCGATCGATTATTGATATGCATTTGCCAAGTATCAATAAAAAAAATAAAAAAAAAACAATAAAAGAAATGTATAATTTTTTTTTTTATTAGTATCAATACTTAATATATGACTACTATACGCATCTCCATTCCATTTATCATGAAAAAAGTCTATTTTTTCACTTCACATTTTTCTTTTACTTTCTGAACAAAATATCGATAATCGTCATATTGTGATAAAATCGTTGTCGTGATATAATCGTTATTGTGAGCTTTGTATCGCGTATCGTATTGTCTCGTGAGGTACCCTGAGGTTCCCACCCCTAATGTTGTATATGATGTTGTTGGAGTATACACATGCACGCTATGAAAAATAATGTAAAATTGCACTCACAAAAATCTGCTAAACAAGTAGGGACCGCTGTACACTGTCACATTGTATACGTTTCTCAAGGTTTAACCCTACGTCCAACTATTGACATTGAGATAAACAAAGTATTTAAGCAGTGTTATCATGAGTACGTCCGATAACAATCCAGATTTTCCTCAATATATTTACACAATGGAGGACTGTTTAACATCCAATCAGTGAGAAACCAACGGGACACAACAGAATACATGATGATCAAACACGAATGACAAAAGTTCTGAGGGTTTTTTGTGAAGCAGAGACAGAGAGTACCCCCAGGAAGAAGAAGAAGGAGAAGGAGGGGTGTGGGAGGTGTGATCAATTGTTTCCATAGAGATACAGGATTAGTTTTGGTTGCTGGTCGTTATGCAGAAACTTTGTGTGGGGGTGTGTGTGGGGGGGGGGGGGGGGGGGGGTAAGTCAATACCGTGAAGTACTGCTTTGCTTGGCTCTGCACGTGCTTTAAGAAGTGGATGCACAAAGCCTGAGGAGATAAATGTCCAATGCACATGCTCTCTGCCCTCAGAAAGCAGCGAGTGCACCACAACAGTCTGAGGGAGGACACGGGGGGGGGGAGAAATCAGTCGGGCAAAGCAGTATCTGGGTCAGACCTGCAGTTGATAAAGCCCATACCTAGAAGTCTCTATGGTAACACAAGCTCCTCCCCTTACCCCTTCAACCTGACTTCCTTGCGCCTAATAAAGCTGCGGCTAGCAACTGCAGCAGACAGCGTGCGGCATATAGCATCCGAGACGCAGACACAAAAGGAGTTAGGAGTGAGTGTGCACAGCAAGAAGTGATGAAAAAGAAGTCAAAAATTGCTCAAATTCAGCAAAAAGTATCTACATTTAAGCACATTTTGACTGCCTTAAAACAAGATTTGCCGATAGGACACAGCAAAATGGTCTTGGAATGAGAAAATAAAGCAACAGATATGGTAATAAGACTTTGTCCAATTGGCAAATCGTATAAAAACCACTCGATTCAAGCTATTATTACCTCATATTTGATCATGTTTTGCAGTTCTTGAAATTATATACACACTTTTGAAGCTAGGTCGAGTTACAAACTGCTAAAAAACACATCACTAATTCTCTCAATTGGGACAGAATGTAGAGCAAAGTGTGCCTCATGTGCATAGAAAAATACTCCCATCTCATCTCCATTTTCCACAAAGAGGTCAGAGGTCTCCTTTCAAGGACGCTTGAGTAGGTCAATTGCTGTGGTTGCTCTCTTGAGACATCTGGATGGTTCTAGCTAAGTACACCACAGAGCCACAAACATGCGTCGTAAGGCTGCACGCACGGACACTTACCTGATTTGTTTTGCATAGCCGACTTCAATCTCTGATCTCTCCTTGACAAATTTGTTGTACTTCTCGACAAATTCGATGCCCCACTGTGTGTGCTTCTCCAAGTTGTCAAACTGATCCTGTGGGGACAAAATAGAAAATCAATCACGTGCTCCACATAGTTATTGAGCAGCCTACAAACACCGATTTATCTATAATTCGCTTCCTGCAGTTCGGAACAATTTTCAGAAAAGTGTTGGGGTGAAAACACAATATCAAAACCAGCATAAATATAAACAAATACTGCACATCTCTGTAGTAAAAGTTTGCATGAAAAGAGACAGATCTGTAGTAATCTGTCGCGTGACAAAGTGTGGGCCACTATACAATCCAATCCTGCAAAAAATCACAGAGACAGCACAAGAAAAAGTAAAAATTGACACCTTAGTAAAGCTCCAGCAGAGACCCATCTTCTCCTCCATCACTGAAGGCTTATCACTACCTTAAACTTGTCAAGCATGGTCTCATTTTGTATAATATAGTTTGTGTTCATACCACGTTCAAGCACATGAAACAGGAAGTGGTTGTGGTAACTAGCACAGATACAGCACAAGAGTTTGCAGTAAGACTATTCATAAACACGCCTTTTTGATTGAACTCAAATCCATTTTCCATTTGTTCTGCAAGAAGTGCCACTCAAGACTTCAGCTTCTCCCCGATGCAGCACTTAGGGAAAACAATAACAGCAAGATGGAGAGCGGTATCAGTGCATGGGACTTTCCGGTCGTCTTTGCACATCAGTTTCAAACAGAATTTCTAGTATCAAAGACTTTTTACTGACGGCTCAAAGCTCAAAGACAGCAATGAATCAAAGACAACAATAAATGAGAACAATAGAACAAATTACCCTTTTTTGCAGAGGGACCATTTTGTCCACTTTCTTGTCTAATCTCAGCGTGGATTGGGCGCTCCTCAACAACATTGAAATGCACAATTGAATCCAACGTGTCTTCTTGAAAAAATACAGCCACAACAATGGCCCAGTTCAGTTCAGGGAGGCTTTCCCAAAGGCCATCTCCCATGTATCCAAGAATGCACTTCCAAACAAAGAAGGAACCAGCATGTGGCAAAGAAATAGTATCCAATGTGCGTTGCAAATGATAATCCAGAAGAAAAATAGTGATGGAAGCAGCTGCTGTGTGTATAGTGCTGTTTAGCTAGCAGGAGCACTGTGATTGTGAGGCCACTGCTGCTCTGGACTGTAGGCGAAATGCTCCATGAGGCGTAAGGTGGAATAAGTGGGATGTGAGAGGGAGAGGGGGGAGGGCACCGGGACGGGAGAGAGATGAGTAAAGAGGCGGGATTATACCGGATTACATTTAAGATGCATTGAGGTAGGACCAGTCTATTAATATGTAATAAATATACCATGAAGCTGACAGTGTGATTGGTAGAGACGAGTCACACTATAGAACACAATACTTAATGTTTTGTTTAATGTATTGAAGAAACAAGAACAAAACATTCTCAATTCACCTCATTAGTTTCAGTAATTAAGGCCATTATCGATTAGTATTGATTACCAATAGTATGGATATTTAACATTTATGGACATTGGTCATCTGCCCCTTATGGACTAATGGCTCTATGTGTTTTTAATCAATGCATTGCTTGTGTTTGCTTGATTCTCTGATCTGTGTTGGAGAATTCAATGGTTTTGTAAAGTCCGAGATAACTAATGTTGGGATCTAGGGCTAAACAAAGAATGAATTGAATTTTTGTCATTTAGAAGTAGAGATTTAAAGCCATACAAGTTAACAAAAATCGTTCAAATTATAACAAAAACTTGGTGCAGGAAACTGGACTGAAAATCTGTATGGGATATGTTCCAGTAAACCCCCCATAATGGTCCCTGAACTATTGACCGACTTCCTCCTGTGCGTCCACTCTGTCATCTGGCCCACGACACCTGACCTTGTCCCGGAGCAGAGATGATAAAGAGCTGAATATGTGCTTGTTTTTCATGTTTCCGACAGTCTTACTACAATAGCTTTTGCTACAGAGAACAACTATGGATACGTTTAGGTCTATGAAGGTGCAATTTTATACTATTCAAAAGATTGACAATATCGCTAAGGAGAAGGTGCTATAGTTGTTCACCTGTGCTCTGGCTGAAATGCTATAATTGTATAAGAAGACAAAGACACGACAAATCCAAATCCAGTCCTGTTTAACCGCGAGCCCCGGACCTCTGACCCTTGCGCTGATGAAGGGTCTTACTCAAAGTTTTAATGTATTGGTCTTTGGCTAATCTGCTCTTATGCTCATTATCTAGAGACTACTGGGGATGACGCCCACGAACCTGCAAATCTGTGCAATTATTTTCCTCAAACTGATAATGCATGAACCCTTATACTGTAACTGGATACAGAAGAAAGCAGAAGTTTACATACATGCTAATTTTGTTACCTCACGTTATAGTAATAATAATAACAACACATTTTATTTTTTAGGCATCCCTCTGGATACTCAAGGTCGCCTTACATCAACACGTAAAAAGTTAAAATACAGATCAAAGCAGCATGAGTGTCCAAAATAGCGCTATATAAGTTTTATGTCTTATTATTCATCATTATTATAATTATTTGTTTTTGTATCTTTCTGTCTTCGTCTGTCATCATCTGTCTATTTTTCCTAAAAAGTTGGGTCTCCACTAAAAAAGGTATTACGGAGGTTGGGCAATCTTATCTATCATAAACATATTAGTATTTTGATTACATTCTATGCCCTATAACAATAACCCAACAAAAGCTAATAGTATTGTTTTTGATCATATATATTTGCATATCTCTGATCACTGCAAGACCTCAACATTGAGCACTCAAGCTGTGATGAATGATTTGAGACAGCCCTGAATAGAAACCATTTGCATTTCTTTCAATAGTAAACACAGGCCACTGGATGAAATCATCTCCAGCTGAAAGTGAAGTCAGAAAAGTTATTGGCCCTCGGAACAAAGAGCCTTCAAACTGATCCGAAAACCAGCAGCCCAGGTCTAGCATTTCTGACACACAGCACATAAATATATATAGAGAGACATTTTCCACATGAGAATCACAGTCAGAATCCTGAACTCTGAAGATTCTTTTTGATTATACGCCATATTTTTGTATTTTTATTCTATGAACTTTCTCGAGTGGAATGTATGCGTGGAGGTAAACTAATGAACAGATGTTGAGGACAGATGTTTTGCTGATCACCGAACAAAGGGGCACAAGAGCAAACTAAAGCTTTTGTCATTTTACAATACCGGCCGCTCGCAAGACTGAGGGGGTGGACTGGGCTGTAAGCGTGCCATAGGTATAAATCATCCAGACGTTTTAATTAGTGAGTTACCGTAAGTAATAGTTGTGTATAGAAAAAGTCTTTCCCTCTCGGGCAGGTGCAATCTTATATATCTCCTCGGCAAATCTGATAAAAACCACTTGATTCAAGCAATTACTACCTCATATTCCATCAGTTTTTGCAGTGTTGATCTTCTTCAAGTGAAATACACACTTTTGAAGCTAGGTACATGCTGCTAAACACATCACTAATTCTCTCTATTGAGTTCCTTGGTCGGGCAGGTGCAAGGATTTATCGCGCCTATGCACCTCCTTTTCTGTGCTTTTTAGTTTTACCATGCAGCACCAGCACTTTGTATGGACATGCGCAATGTGCTTTCTTACCCTGTTCCGGACTAGCACTTTGGATAATGTACTGTATGTACCTTGTTGTTTATTGAGTTTTTTAACGGCATTGTCTCACTGGTCTAGTCTAGATTTGTATTCTGGCACTTATTCCACAAGCACTTTAATGGGCCGGTGTAATATTATGGTATATACTTGAGCTGAAATTGTGCAGACGAGCCACTTGTCCTGATGTTGTGTGTGTATATTTGTTTCCAGCAGCACTGGGGAGCCTGGGAGGGAGACAAATTTCCCTTCGGGGGTAATAAATTGGAACCTCAATCACTACGACACCAAAGTCCATATTCTATACTCTGCTCTAACTATAGAAAAAGACATGATGAAATATACTGTAAAAAGCTGTGATATTCTGCTCTTGTGATCTCAGTGGGCGCTGAGAAGCCTGGACAAATATTTAAAGAACTTGCCAAATCATTTTGAGAGACACTCATGTCTTTGTGAGAAGATGCGGGGTCGGAACAATCGTGTCCTGGTTGTGTAGACTTTAGTGTCAAACTCTCTGGGTTTTCACTCTGCTCTGGTTAAAATCTTATCACTGAGGTATTAAGAAGTATTTCCATGTGGAACCAATATTGAGTCAGGAAGTCAATGATGATTATTGATCTTTTTGGAAATCGATAGGTTGGCGGATTATTCTTTTGATTAATGTATTTGACTTTGACACCCCTGTTCTAGATAATTAATTAATGGTTTATCCTGCAAAATGAGTGATTATGACGCCCCTGTATTATTAGTTATTTATAGAAATGTCCGTGTCTCTGCTAGTCACTTTATCCATACTCTGCTGATTTACATTATATATAAGTTTATAAATAAATGTACTGCTCTTAGAGTGCATTACAGACTCATACTTCTGTCCCTAAAGCCACATTTAAGAAGCATTTACAGGTAATTTGTGTGCTCTTTGTGTACTGCTTGTGTGCTCTTACTACTGTTCTGTAAGTGCACTGCAACACTGGAATTTCCCCACTGTGGAACAAATAAAAGTTCCCTTATCTTATCTTAAAGAGATGTTTTACTGTATACATTTTAAATTCTACTGTCATTATAGAACTATCTGACCCATAAAACCTAAATTAGTTGACAACTCTTGCAATAACTGATTAGTTGAGATGAATTGATTAACTTGATAATCGTCAAATCTGCCGCAAAAAATCACTGGTCATCTTTAATCTCTAATAGCCCAAAGTCCTGTAAAATGTGTCACATAGTTCCAGGGTAGAGGAGTGAGATCGTTTTCAATAAATGAGTAGATTAGAGCAGTGTTTTTCAACCAGTGTGCCATGGAACCTTAGTGTGCCTTGAGATGTTGTGTATGGTGTGCCTTTGGAAATGGCCCAATATCAACTGTTTGGTTAAAATAACGTGAAAATAAAATAAGGTCAGAAAGA